ATTATCAGAAAATATGGTTCAGAGAGAGACAGAGAGAGAGAGAGAGAGAGAGAGAGAGAGAGAGAGAGAGAGAGAGACAGAGAGAGAGAGCTAACTAACTGGAAATAGAATGGCATGGGCATTTGATACCTCAAAACCTGATCCCAGTTGCACTCCTCCTCCAACAGGGCTACACCTCCTAATCCTTCCCAAACAGTTCCACCAACTACAGACTTTGTATTCAAATATATGAGCCTATGGGGACCATTCTCTGTCAAATCACCATATTGGGCTACTGGGGTCAAGCCTTGAAATCTTATAGCCAGCCATACTTTCTGTTTGTGCTCAGCCTCTTGACTATAGACACAATGTGACTGGCCACATATTATTTCTATGCTTACCCTTATCCCAGAATAAATAGCTGTGTCTTTTTGAACTGTAAACCAGTTTAAACCCTTCCATAATTGCTTCTTGTCAGCCATTTACTCATAGCCATGAGAAATATAACACAACCAGAAAAGATGGAGAGACCTAATCTTATGACAATATGATATTTTAAATACACATTCATTTGCTTCCAGATTTAGTTTAGAGTCTGTAGAAGGATGTGCTAAGGCTGCTTGGAAATTCCTAAAGAACAAAGAGGTGGAGGAAAGGCCTCCCAATGCTGATAAAGAAGCTCTTGCCATGATTAACAAACTTCAAAAAGTTCAAAAGTCTTTGGAGAAACGAAAGATAAAGTAAGTATTTCACTAAGCAAATTGGCCACGTAAGGGTTTGTAGAACCCAAATGTCCTAGTAGGAAATGCTCATTGAAAATGCTTTATAATGAAATTCTAATTATGTCTTGGATTGTTTGTGTTTTTAAATTTCAGAGGGAAAATTGGGTGAAGATAAGTGACCAGCAGCACATATTCCTTACTTGCATAGATTAGTTTAATTTATGGCTCTTTGAAACAGGTCCAGATTCTCTCAGTCTATGTATTTTACAGAACTTGACAAGATCATCCCACAATGCCCATGAGACTGTGTCTTGACTCATGATACATTATCACTGTCTGAGCCATAGAGTGAGTTTTGGACTGGACTACAACACCGATTTTACACTTGGAAGGTCATTTCTCTCAGGGTGTAGCTAAAATGTGTCCTTCTCATAATCCTCTCCATCTTGAGTGACTGTGTGGTTGGAAACTCTTCATATTTCCCTCTTATGAGTGGAGAGATATTTATGGACTTAAGACTCTCTAGACTCAATACTCTCTAACCTTACTAACCTGATCTTATAAACTTTGAAATTGGTTAAATTACTCTATGTTTGGTATTCTTTCTCCCTGTTGCCCAGCTGATGGAGTCTAATATCTACTGTTGATCATCCAACAGTTTTGGCTTTTGTTTTTCCTTTTTCCAAGCATTTCTTGCCACTCCCTTTTAGGATATTTATCATTCTAGTCACTTCATTTATCCTTCTATCTCTTTCTTACCATGGGCCCAAATGTCTGTCTCTTTAGTGTCTTCACACTTATTGCACCCATCATGTGTACTCATAAATTTGTTATCTACTTTCTAAATCTTGTACTCATTCCTGAACTTAGACTTATAATTTTTTGTATGTTCTACTTTGTTTAGTTAGGAGATAAATTATTCTGCATTTTTAAAATATACACACTGACCATCCTTTATCTGAAAAATATAAAATCCCAAATCTTTCAAAATCTGAAACTCTAGGTGCTCAGGTAACACTGGTTGTGGAAATTTTTACATAATAAAACTTGTTATATATATAAATTTATTTAAAATATGTTTAAAATTGCCTTCAGGCTATATTAGGGGGTAATATAAATAAAATCTAAATAAATTTTCTTGTTTAGACTTGGGGTGCCATCCCAAAATTTGTTGTTATTTATTGACCAATATTTCAAATATTCAAAAACTAAAATTCGATTCCCAAGCTCTTTGTATAAGGGACACTAAATCTTTATTAGTTTCCCTAAATCCTAAGCTTTTTTACAACAAGAAGCTCACATTTTCCTCTTTGAACCTTCATAGCCTGACAGATAATAGTTGTTCCAGGGATTTTTATTTTAAAACTATTAAAAAAACTTATATTATTTTTATTGAGAATTTTATGCATGAGTATTGTATTTATATCATTCCTCCACACACTCTTCCTGCCCTCCAGCTCCTCTCCTGTCCCTTCCCTTTCCAATTCATAATCTCTTCTTTTGTAATTAGCACACACACAAATACATTCTATTGATACCATTTTGTGTGCTTATATGAATGCATGTTTAGTGATGACTACTTGGGATTGGATAAGCTATCAGGAGGCTAGTAACTAGAGAGGACTGATTCTCCCTCTTTTGCCAGCCAATTAATACCTATAACTCTTCATCTAGTGTGGGGACCTGCCCCACCAGGAACTTAGGTCACCTGTGAAGAGGTGGCCTGGAATGGAGGAAAGGCAAGTGCACACTGCTCCCTGTTCCCCAGCCTCCCTCTTACCCGGAGACAATCAGATGCAGCAGGGAGTCAAGTCAAGCAAGAATTCATTTATTGATGGGCAGTAAGCCTCTTTTATACCAGAAAACCTCAGAACCCTAGGAGGGGGTGAAGGAACCAACCAATCACTTTAAAGGTCACCCTATTTACAAGTTGTTTATGCCCTAACACCATCTCCTGTTTTTAGTATCTTATCTTAGCATAAATAACTTGAGCAAACTTCCTTTCTCACCGTTTGTCTTTAATCTCCATACAAACAACCCAAGCTAACTTCCTCTTAGCCATCCTTTGTATCTATTCTCTGCACAAACAGCTTAAACTAACTTCCTCTCCACATCATCCTTTGTATCTACTCTGTTTGTAAACAGCTTAAAGCTTAAGCTCTATTTGTCTACATTTCTCTTGGCACCCTCTTTGCAGTCCATGTATGCCCCACAGATTGCCCCTTTTTGTTTTTTAAATAAGGTGGGCTGTTTACTTGTTTGGCATCCCCCCCCCCTTTTTTTTCAAGTCAAACCTAACATTTATTGAGAACACAGAAAATCAGTTAACAGATCAGTCCTACTGTCCCTCAGTGATTTAGTTATGAAGCAAAAACATTATAGGTTTTCAGTCCTAACCCTAGTTCTAAGGAGAGAAGAGTTAAGAAACCAGTTAAAGGTACAAAGACAGAGTTATCTTTCCCGACCCCTACCCCCAAAGGTAGCTGATGATTTCCAAAACGAGGCTGTTTTAGTCACATTTAGGAATTATTAGGACCAGTCTATCTTTAAGTCCAGTCCCATGGAGAATTGTCAGCCCCACACCTCCAGAGAAGGTTGGTGCTGAGTTGTCCTCATCATACATGGTCACCAGTGTCCATTATGCACTTGGCCTCCAGCACATGCTTCTCCCAGTTCAGGGCCCAGCAAGTGCTCACCTTTAAGCTGTGAGGGAGCTACACACTGGGAAGTAGTCTTTGATGAAGGAGAAGTACACACAGGCTCAGCCTGTCCAATGACATCTGTCCTCCCACCGGGTTGTGGACCCCAGGAAGACCTGGAGGAAGATGTAAGCAAAGGGAAGTTACCATTGCAAATGTTGAGCGGTTCCCAGGAACTGTGGTCCAGGTTTTTGGTTGAGGTAGAGAAGGTCAGTGTCCTCATGGATGTAGATCCAATCATCCTCATGCAGCCGTGTGTGGAAAGATACTGGCCCAAGTGAAAGCTGGGGACTTCTTCAGGAGCACAGAGCAGAGGTATGTCATCTGGCTGGTCCACGTACAGCCTCTCTTAGTAAGCATCCATTGAGAAGTAGAGGTCCAGTGGGGCTTCGCTCAGCAGCGGCAGCAGAAAAGACAGTTTTAACCTCAGCCCCCGGGTGCTGGATGTTGCTTTCTCCATTGGCTGTGTGTGTGAGGGCTGAGGTGGAAGGGCAGGTTGGTCTATGGCGGTGGGGTGTGGCCACACCAGAGGCCATCTCGGTAGAGTCACCATTGTCCCCAGGCTCCGAGGATGTTGAGGAGCCAGTAGTGGGGCCCTGGGAAGTGGTAGCAAATACTGGAAGCAGGTGGTAGAGTTCTCCTGGGGTGGGTGTCAGAGGTTGCTGTAGGGAAGCGGGGGAGGCCGAAAGATGTGGGGGCAGCGGTGGTGTGGGACGACCATCAGCTGGAGTACTGCCATCTGATGTCAAAATAGCACACACTTGCAGCTCATGTAGCCAGGGCCACCCTTATCAGGAGTTATCCTGTAGTTTGTGTTGCCGAATCTCACATACAAGTGTGTAGAAGGCATCTCCACACCCTACTGGGTTCTGGCTGATGTTTCCATGTAGGGGATGCCATAGCTGTCGGCAAGGTCCTGGGCCTGCCAACACTAAACAGTACAAGCAGCTAAGTCACACTTGTTCCCCACCGGCACCATTGGCACATCGTCTGAGTCCTTTATCCATTTGATCTGCTCCCTGTATTGATGGATGTTGTTAAAGGACTTGGTGTTGTTGATAGCAAACACACAGAGGAAACCCTTCCTGTGTGGATGCATTGGCCCTTCATGGCACCACATTCCTCCCAACCCACTGTGTCTAGGATGTCCAGCAGACATGCCTCCCCATCAATGACCACCTGTCTCTGATAGAAGTCCTCTATGGTGAGGTCATATTCATCCACAAAATGATTCTGGATCAGCTGGATGGTCAGGGCACTCTTTCACACACCTCCAGCACCCACTACCGCAAGCCTGTATTCTGTCATCATTTTTTGTAGGGACTGTCACTCCAGGAGCTCCTGCCCCACAAGGGGCACGGAGTGGCTGGGGAGCAGAAGGCCCTGACTGGGGCCCGATGCTGGTGTCCTTATAGCCCTGAGGTCAGAGTGTGATGGCCTCAGGGTGCAGAATAACTGAATATGGGTGCTAATTCCCTATTTTGTTCTATTAAAACAAAAACATATTTAAATTTAACAGCTATTTATCAGAGGTTATTTAGCTCTGGGGTTAACTCCCTGCGTTTGTAAAAGGGGGTGCCTTTAGGAAGGGTTGACAAACCTGTTGTTATTATTATTATTATTATTATTATTATTATTATTATTATTATTATTATTTGTTAGTCAACCTGACCTTGGGCATCTTTTTGTTGTGGAGGGGTGGGAAGAAATTTTAGATTTCTGGTGGGGAGCCAGATTGGGGCTGTTTTTCCAAAGGGGAAGATGCAACCATACCCCCCACCCCACAGTAAGTAGGGGCTCTGGTCCCCTCCACTGAAGTGTTAGAGGGTCTCTCCATCATACTTGAATCTGAGGTTTGGGGTTTGATTGACCCCAATGTTTTTGAAATCTGGTTTCATTGGGTCCTTTGGACAGATTCAAAATATTAATAGTGAATAAGGCCTGCTGTAACTGAATATGGGGGGTTACTCCCCCTTTTTGTTTTAAAAGCTGTTCTTTAAGGCATTGGTAGTTTCTTTCAATGATTGCCTGCCCTTGAGGGGATTCTTGTGGTGGGTTTTATATGCCAATGCTCAAAGAACTCTGTCATGGCCCTGCTGGTGAAGCAAGGTCCATTATCTGTTTTAATTTGTGATGGCAGGCCCAGAGTAGCAAAGCATTGAAGGAAATGGGAATATGCATGTTTGGTCCTTTCTCCCATGTGGGCTGTGGCCCAGGAGGCCCCTGAAAAGGTGTCTATTGATACAAAACTGTACTTAAGTTTGCCAAAGGGCGAGAAATGACTAACATCAGTTTGCCAAAGGACGTTTGACTTCAGCC